TTACAGCAACGTGTCCTCTCTTGGTAAGGGTTTCCTGTTCTCCAGTCAGAGTTCAGGAAGACATTTTGTAGTTATGGGCTGTTCATGCATATAGAAATTATTATTTATGCCATGCCATTGTAAGCATGTAAACATTTAATATATTGGAATCTGGCAAATATCAGAAAACAATTATTATGACATCCAACTGCTTGATCTTTTTCTTTAACCTTGCTATTATATTTATTTCTCTTTCCCCTTGAAGGTGATGATGGGCAGGACCATAAAGAGTCTCAGGAATCATTCCAAGGGTTCAGATGTGGAGATGCAATGGAGGAACCTGTAATTCAAATGAAATTCCAAAGGCAGGAGAGAAATCAGTCAAATAATTGGAATAAGGAAAGCTCATCTTCCATTGATGCTCACATGCAGGAGTTTCTTGAGCAACGAGGAAAAATACAGAAAAAATATATTGGGAAAGGTATAAGACTATCCAAAGGCACACTAGATACAGATGGACACTATCCATCCCAAGCCAAAGGACAAGGTTATATATGTAAAGACAATGGAAAAAATTACAATTGGACTTCCACACTTTCTCAAGAAAATAGGTCTCTTACATCACACAAAATTCTTCACATGGGAGAGAAGCCAAATAAATCCCTCGAGCATGGAAAGAGCTTCTGTGAAAATGAGACTCTTACTGTTCATAAAAGGAGCCACACAGAGGAAAAGCCATTTAAATGCATGGAGTGTGGAAAGGGCTTCAGTAAACCAAGTGGTCTTACTTCCCATAAAAGGATCCACACAGGGGAGAAGCCATTTAAATGCATGGAGTGTGGAAAGGGCTTCAGTAAACCAAGTAATCTTACTTCCCATAAAAGGATCCACACAGAGGAGATACCATTTAAATGCATGGAATGTGGAAAGAACTTTAGTTTCAACAGTACTTTTACTTCCCATAAAAGGATCCATACGGGGGAAAAGCCATATAAATGCATAGAATGTGGAAAGGGCTTCAGAATACATGGTGATCTTATAACCCATAAAAGGATCCACACAGGGGAGAGGCCTTACAAATGCATGGAATGTGGAAAGACCTTTACTTATAACAGTCAACTTGCTTCCCATAAATGGATGCATAGAGGAGAGAAGCCATATAAATGCATGGAGTGTGGAAAGGGCTTCAGCCAACACAGTCATCTTACTTGCCATAAAAGGATCCACACAGGGGAGAAGCCATATAAATGCATGGAGTGTGGAAAGGGCTTCAGCCAACATGGTCATCTTATTTCCCATAAAAGGACTCACACAGGAGAGAAGCCATATAAATGCGTGGAGTGTGGAAAGGGGTTCCATATCAGTTCATCCCTTATGAAACATAAGAAGATTCATACTGGGGATAAACCATATAAATGCATGGAGTGTGGAAAGGGCTTCAGCCAACATGGTAATCTTATTTCCCATAAAAGGACTCACACAGGAGAGAAGCCATATAAATGCATGGAGTGTGGAAAGGGGTTCCATATCAGTTCATCCCTTCTGAAACATAAGAAGATTCATACAGGGGATAAACCATATAAATGCATGGAGTGTGGAAAGGGCTTCAGTTTACTCAGTAATCTTACATCCCATAAAAGGGTCCACACAGGGGAGAAGCCGTATAAATGCACGGAGTGCGGAAAAGTCTTCAGTGGACTCAGTGGTCTTAAATCCCATAAAAGAATCCACACAAGAGAGAAGCCATATAAATGCATGGTGTGTGGAAAAGGCTTCAGACAACATGGTAATCTTATTTCCCATAAAAGGACTCACACAGGAGAGAAACCATACAAATGTATGGAGTGTGGAAAAGGCTTCAGCCAACGTGGTAATCTTACTTCCCATAAAAGAATCCACACAGGGGAGAAGCCATATAAGTGCATGGAGTGTGGAAAGGGCTTCAACAAACTCAGTGGTCTTACATCCCATAGAAGGATCCACACAGTGGAGAAGCCGTATAAATGCGTAGAGTGTGGAAAGTCTTTTAGTCACAGCCATCACCTTACTTGCCATAAAAGGATCCACACAAGGGAGAAGCCAATATAAATGAATGGATTTTGGAGAGAGCTTTAGGGGGAGCAATGACCTAATTTCCTATACACACTTGGGTGGGAATGTATGTAAATTCTAGAAAGTTCAATTTCTGTGCTTCTACAAATATTAACGCCATCTGTTTTCCTGGGTGAAGTTCATAATATTCCAAAATGTTTAAAATCATTCTCAAGTTATTTTTTATTTGCCTTTTAGGTAGAAATATATTTTGATCTGTATATATAAATTCAATCAAAAATTTCTTTAGTCTTTCTGCTATTATTGAAGCAAACATTTTATAGTCCACATTTAATAAAGATATTGGTCTATAATTCTTTATTTGAGTCAAGTCTGAGTCTTCTTTAGGTATTAAAGTAATAATAATAATAATA